GAATTTTGAACTCGAACCTCTGACGGATGGGGAGCCAGTGGAGCTGGGCGAGGGTGGGTGTGATGGGGTCATGGAGCCTGATGTGGGAGAGGACACGAGCTGCAGAGCTCTGGATGATCTGTAGCTTGTGGAGGGAAGAGTTGGGAAAACGAAAATCAGGACATTGGTTTAGTCGAGGCTGGATGTAATGCAGGTATGTATGAGGGTTTCGGCAACCTGAGAGGTGAGACAGTGGCGGAGTCAGGCAATGTTGCGAAAGTGGGGGAAGGCAGTGCATGTCATGGCACAGATGTGGGTGAGAAAGGACAGTTGAGGGTCGAACAAGCTGCCTCGGGTTCTGAATGGCTTGGGTAAGGTGGAGTGCTCATCCGTGGATGCTAATGATGCCAGTGCGGAGGCTGATGGTCTTGGTGATGTTCAACTGTAGAAAGTTGGCTCTCATCCAGGACTTGATGTCTGACAGGCAGTCTGTCAGGACTGGTCCTGTAATCGAGGGTGGAGGCAGAGAGATAAAAGTTGGGGGTCATCTGCATACATGTGGAATTGACCCCATGTCTGCGGATGATGTCACCACGAGGGAGTATGTACAGGTTGATGTGGAGAGGACTGAGGACAGAGTCCTGAGGAACTCCGCACAAGACATTTCAGGGGCTAGAGGAGAAGCCGTTTGTGGAGAAAAAGTAGAGCCAGTGTGAGAGGTAGGATCTGAACCATTCAAAGACAGAACCTTAAAGGTTGAGGTGAGAGGAGAGGCGGTGGAGGAGTTGTGGTCCAAATTGTCGAAGGCAGCAGAGAGGTCGAGGAGACAGAGGAAGCTCTGGTCACATAATGTCATTTGTCAGCTTGACCAGAGCAGGTTTTGTGCTGTAAGCAGCATGTAAACCCTATTGGAGAGGTTCGTAAAGGGAGTGGCAGGAGAAGGAGTGAAGCTGGGAAGCAACAAGTCCTTCAAGGACCTAGGAATGGGAGGTTGGAGATGGGGCAGTAGTTTGTGAGCAGGGATGGGTCCAGGGAAGTTTTTTACGATAGCAGTGATGACAGCTGTTTTTAGGAGGGTGGGAACAGTGGTGTGCTTCATGTGGGTTATAGTGGAGGTGAGAGGGAGGGGGAGACGGGTTCGAAAGTGTGGAAGGAGGAATGGGTAAAAGTGAGAGATAATAATAATAATCCTTGCATTTGATATAGTGCTTTTCACATCTTCCAGACGTCCCAAAGTGCTTCACAGAATATGCTGTAAAGTGAATTGACTGTATATTTGTGGGCGAAACGCGGCAGCCAATTGCGCACAGCAATGTCCCACAAACAGTTATGGATTGAAAATGACCAATTTATTATTGTTTTGTTTTGGAGGGATTATTATTAGGCGTGTGGAGTAAGGAAACTTGCCCAATCCTGGAATTGAACCCAGGTGTCTCGTTTGCAAGGCGAGTGCTCTAACCACTGAGCTACAGGACTCCACAATGTTGAGAAGGTGGTAGTTGGAAGGGTGGAGGCAGCTGAACAGATTCCCTCGCTTTTGGTCTCAAGGAAATCCAGTATTTCCTCGCAGTTGGAGGAGAGGATGGGGGAAGCGTGAGAGGGTGGATGGAGGAGCCAGTTGGTAGAAAAGAGGAGCCTGGGATGTCCTTGGCTTCCAAGATTATCTTGGAATAGAAGGATGATTTGACGGCGGTGAGGGTGGAGCGGTAAGTTTTTAATGTGGTCTAGCCAGATCTGATGGTGGACTGCGTCACACACTTGACCCTTGAGTAAGCGGAGGTAGCTGATGTACCAGCGTGAGTTGCGTGAGTAGGAGGTGGTTCGGGAGGTGAGGGGAGCAAGCGCATCAAGAATGCTTGAGAGGGAGTTGTGGAGGAGAGTGACTGAGGAGAATAAATCGGTGCAGGATACAGGACGGGGGGGCTGGGGAGGGTGGAGGGAGTTCAGACGACTTTAGGGCAGCGTTGAGGGAGTGCAGGGAGATTCTTTCCAAGGGCAATAGGAGATGGAGGTGGGTTGGGTACCAGTGGGGAGAGGGATTGAAGAGTTAAGGGAGATGAAATGGTGATCTGAAATGGCTTTATTGATGATTGTGAAGTCTGAGACACTGAGGCCCTGAGGAATCACCAGGTCAAGTGAGTGGCCATGAACGTAGGTGGCAGAGCGGACGTGGAGGGAGAGCTTGTGAGAGGAAAGGAGAGAAAAGTCGGTGGAGATAGAGCAAGAGGGGATGAAGTGCAGGTTGAAGTCTCCTAGGATAAGGAGGCATTCAGAACAGAGGTAAGCCAGAAGGGCGAAGATGTCAGAGATGAAGGGAGGGGAGGGGGCGAAAAATCAGGATAATTTTGAGGGAAAAATTGGAGGGATGATAGAGGGTAAGGTACTCGAAGGAGGGGAATCAGCCAGAGGAGTAGGGGGATAGAGCAAGTGAGCAGATTTTGGTGAGGGCCGGGATATCGATGTTTTCATCACTGATGATGTCGTTGATGGAGAGAGCCTTGTTAGAAAGGGAGCGGACATTTTGTAGGCCGATGCGGAGGGGACAGTTGGCAGAGGAATGTTTGACATGGGAGGGGGTAGTGGGAGGATTGGCAGGGAGGGTGGGAATGTGGATGAGGGAGGAGAGGTTAGCTCCCGGTGTCTGGTGGGGCTTGCGATGATAGTGGGAATGGGGCAGTCAGTATGGCTGCTGTTGGATAGCCAATTTGCTGTAATACATCACTTTTCACCTAGGATAATACATTCATAGAATCATAGAATTATACAGCACAGAATAAGGCCTTCAGCCCATCATGGCCGTGCTGGCTCTTTGAAAATAGCTATCTAAATCAATCCCACTCCCCTGCTCCACTCCATAGCCCTGCAAACTTGTCCTCCCCATCACTGAAGCAGTTTACAAGGACGATGGGGAGCAACATTTATATAGATCCCTTCATACTGGATGGTTTCTCGCAGAGCAACGGACGGAAAGAGGAGAATTAGTGTGTCAATTAACGGAACAATCAAAGAGATAGCTTATGGAATTCATGAATGATGGAAAGGAAAATGCTAGGTGAAGGGATTTTGTGAGAGATTTCCAGAGAGCGGAAGAATAGTGGCTGACGGCTCTGTCACTGATGGTGAAACAGAGAGAATGAAGAACAAATGTAGAACTGAGGATATTGGCTGGAGATTGAGCAGAAGTGATTACAGAAACAGAGTGAGGCAAGACTATGAAGGGATTTGAAAGCCAAGATGACAATCTTTATCTTAATCTGCTGGGAACTGGGAGCAAGTAGAGCCAAACAAGAATGGGAGTTTTGGATCTGCAGAAGAGGGTACAAGGTGTGAAATTCTGTATGTGGTGGAATTTGAAAGATTAGATCAGAATATTCCCTGCTCTGGACTTTTGGGTGCCACTCCTTTTTCTAAAGTCAGACCTGCCCACTTCTGTTTTCATCCTTTGCTATGGACTTCAAGCACACAAAATCATTATTGGATCTGGACCAGCTGCTCTGTCCCAATACCAGTCTCTTATTTATAGCTCTTGATTGACAATCTCCCATCCCCAAACCCTACATCTTCTTGGCTGGCTGCCCTCTCGATTTACCTTCTCATTCCTTGGTCTTGGCTGCCTGTAAACCTCTCATTTTTGGCTCTGGACTGCCTGCAGCCCTTGAAAGGTGTGAACTGACTGCGTACCTTTCCATTCCTCGGTCAGTACTGACTATCCACCCACTCATTCCTAGATTTAGACTGACTGTCTGCCATTTTTTATCTCAACCACCTGTCTACCTTCTCACTATTGGGTCTGGAATGACTGCCCATCCTCTCAGTCTTTATTCTCGACTGATTGTTCTCGACTTGAAAATTAGGCAGTACAGTGGGACTGAAGTACAGGTTGTTTTGAGAGCTGATACAGACTCAAAGGACCAAACAACCTCTTTCTACACTGTAAATGTATATTAATCTATGATTGGCAACCCACTCACTTCTTGTTCTGGACAGATGACCACTCTCCCATTTCCAGGGTGTGGACTGACTGTCCCACCTGCTCATTCTTGGTTCTGGACTGTCTGCAGCCCTTTCACTCCTGGTTCTCAACTTCAGACCCACAATTTCATTGCTTGCTCTGGCTTGCCTGTGCTCTTATTAGTTGCTCTGCACTGCCTGCCTGCCTGGCCAGCCCTCTCATTTCAGCTTCTGGGCTACAAACACCTGCCCCTCCCTCTCATACGTGGATCTGGACTGACCTTCACCCTGAGTCTGGACAGAATATGCAGAATTCCTGTGCGGAATTGGCTGCCGTGTTTTTGCCCACAAAATACAGTCAATTCACATTACAATATATTCTGTGAAGTGCTTTGAGACATAATTAGGCACTATTATCAAATGCAAGGATATTATTATCATCATCATCATCATCAATGCCCACATGGTCATTTCTGGGACCAGACAGACTGCCCGCACTCTCAGTCCTCACTCCTGGGTGCCCCAAGCCTTGGCTCCTGCCGACTTGCGCATAGTACTTTCCGGAATTAAGTAAGCTGGACGCAAGCGCATTCTACGCCAACAACGTATCTGCGGGATGTCCACGTGAAGTTGGGCTGGACGGCATTCTCAGTTTGGTTGGGATGCTCTTTCAAGCATATGGGGAAGGGTTCCCACATGTGTCAGGACACCCGACTTCAATTCCTGGGCGTGGACTGAAAACCCGCCCCCACTCATTCCTGGGTATGGACTTGAATGCCCTTGTGATGGGAGACGGGAGCTGCTGCTTTGCATTCTTGCGGGCGGCACTTAAAAAAAAAACCCCCCACCAGGAGAAAGTCCCGGGCAGGGCGGCGAGTCAGCGCCGTCCGTCAGAGCGGCGGCTCTCGGACCCCGGAGCTGGCTGACACCGCGTTGTGCGCGCGCACTTCCCGCCCGGCCGCCCGCCCGCCCGCCCGGCGCACCTTGACCGCGCTGACAGCCGCGCCCCCCCGAAAGTGCGGCCACCAGCGCGGCGAGCGCTCGCGACTCAGCGGCCAACTCCTCCTCACCTTCGCGACGGAGCTCCGCCAGTCGCTCGAAAACTCCCCCCACCGCCGCCGCCGGTTTTTCTTCCAACGCCGCCTTAAAACTCCCGACAAAAGCGTCCGCGGCAAACCGAGCAGGTGTGTTGACTCCGGCCCCTGCGTCGGCCCCCCTCCTCCTCGGCCACTGTTTACTCCCATCGACGCTCGGGAAGCTCGCGGCTCCTCCCAACTGCCGAGCCGGCGACCAACCGTCACCCGCGGCACGAGCCCCACCCGCCCCGCGCGCGCCCCTATTACCTCACCGCCACCGGCACTGGGCATGCGCGGAGCCCCGGTTCAGGGCTGAGTCACGCGGCGCGCGCGCACACACCTTACACGGATGTCCTCCCACGCTTTCTGTACAGGGAACCGCTCCAGAAAAGGTAATCCTCTGCCCCCCTCCTCCCTCCCTCCCTCCCTTTCCTCAGTACCTCCTGAGGTGAGGGCGTGGTGATGGCTGACCGACTTCAAAGCGTCGCTTTGGTTTCCGACCGTGTCCCTCCTCCCAAAAGGAGCTCAGCAGTCTTTTAGTTCACCAGAGCTATTCGTCACGCCTTCCCCCTCCCCCCCCTCCCTCCCTCTCCCCCCCTCCCCCTCTCCTGGCGATTAAAGACCCACTTACGAGCGTGAAGAAAAATGTTAAACGCGGGTTCGTGTCATGTTCGTGTTGCGCAACAAGAGATGGCGGAACCTCCCAAGCTTTTCGGTGTTAAAACTCTCGCGGCTGCCCTTCGACCAGCCGAGATCCCAACTCCCCTCCCCCGAGTGCAGCTCCCCGGTCCAGCCTTTCATCAGATAAAAAAAAAGTCTGTGGACCGGTTTCTGGAATATTTCTCCCCCCCAACACTCATAAACTTAATCCTTACCGCTTGAAACTGAAACGTATTTTTTTTTGGGGGGGTGGGGAGGGGCAGTTGGGTGGAAACCCTTCACCCGGGCTTAAAGAGTATCCAAACCGATCAGGGTTGAGTTTAACACTTCCCGCCCTCCCCCCCACTCTGTACGTGAAAATTCCCATGTATTGGAATGCGAAGTCTCTTCCCAAGTGAGAACACTTTCCTGCTGCTTATCCAGCTGGGACCACCCTATTCGTGAGGGCATTGGCCTTCGGGGTTAACGGGAGATGAGCGGAATCATTCCTTGCCCCCGCCCGGGACACCCCACCCCACCCCGGGACTAGTCTGCCCTTTTAAGTCCTGCCAATGAGTCAGTGTGACCGCGCCGTCATCATCAGTGCCCTGGAATACCGCAGACCCGCCTGGCTCAGGAACTGGACTACCGAGACCGCCACTGAGGAGCCATGTCACCAAGGAGCCAGTTCAACTCTAATGAGACCCTGTTTACCTCTGCCCCCCTCGGAGGATAGTTGCTTGTTGGTTATTTGATATACTTTTAAGTGCAGGTATGAACCCTCCCCCCCCCCCCCCCCCAGGTGGAATGGTGGGTACCTGGTACAGGATCCCTGCGAGGTTCCTGGTGAGCAACATAACTCAGCATGAAATGTGTAAAGGCGTTGCCACCATCTTCCACTAGAAGGATACACTTTACCACTTTGTGTCATGACTTGTTGGCGTTCAGTTGTACTATTATGTTTGTTTCTGCCCATCTTAGCAATGCTTGAGTAGAGCCCAGTAGTGAGGAGGGAATTGAGTGAGGTGGAATAGAGTGAGAATTCTGTTGAGGAATTTGGTGAGAGTGGGAATTCTTGAGCAAGAGAGAACTAGGGAGCAAAAAAAACTCAGCAATAGAGTGGGAATTGTTTCTTGAGCAAGATAGAACTTTTCAAGGAAACAGGTAAACAAGTCAAATTGGCAGTTGGTCACAGGCCAAGTGTTAGGATTAGTTAATAATTTGCTGAACAGTTAAAACTGGTTATGTCAGAAGCCCATATAAAGGGGAGAATTGCGAGAGCCCAACAGTGTGGAAGGAACTGAGTGAGATGTCTGCTAAGGAATTTGGTGAGAGTGGGAATTCGGTGCAGAGGGGGAATGAGGTGCATAATTATACAATATATAATAGTTCTATTAAACTAATATAAAATGTCTGGGAATATGACTGGGCAGCTGAGACTGGTTGCATGCACAATGTGTGCTATGTGGGACCTCCAGGATGCTTTGTGTGCCCTGGACGAATGTGTGTCTAGGAAGTGCCTCCATGAGTTTGAGCTCAGGATTTCTGAGCTCAAGGAGAGGCTGGTGTCACTATATAGCATATGGGAGGCTGAAGAGTTCGTGGAAGGGAAGAGTGTCAATGCAGTTGTCATTGGGGAAACAACAGTGAAAGGAGTAGACAGGTGTTTCTGCAAACAAAGACGTGACTCGCACATGGTATGTTGTCTCCCTATCACCAAGCTTGAAAACATCACGGAACAGGTGCAAAACATTCTACAAGGGGAAGGGGAACATTTCAGAAGTCGTGGTCCATGTTGGGATCCAGGATGTAGGTGGAAAAAAAGGGCTGAGATCTTACAGGGAGAATATCAGAAGCTAGGGAAAAAGCTAAAGAGCAGGACCTCAAGGGTGGTGATCTCTGGATTACTCGTTCAAGTGAGTATCAAAATAACAGGATCAAACACATGAATGCACATGGTAAGCAAATCTGTCAGCAGATTTCAGAAAGATGCAAAACCAATAGAATAGTGATAATGGGGGACTTCAGTTATCCGAACACAGACTAGCAAAATAACAACAACAAAATTACATTTGTATAGTGCCTTGCACAGCGGGAGGATGTCCCAAGACGCTGGACATGCAGAGTTTCGGATCCGAGCTGGGAGTCGGTGAGGGGGAAGCAGGGAGATCAAAGGCATGGGCAAAGAGGAGGGTCTTGGGGTGTGTCTTGAAGGTGGCAAGGGAGGGGGCAAGGAGGAGGGAGTGCCAGAGGGTGGGGAGGAGAAGGCCTGCCTACCAATAATGAGGCGGGGGACGTGAAGCAGGCTGGAGCCCATCGAGCAGAGGGGACGAGCAGGATGGTAGGGGGTTAGGAGGTCACAGAGGTGGGGGGAGCAAGACCATGGGGGGCTTTGAAGGTGAGGACCAGTATCTTGAACTGTATCCTCTGTGTGATGGGAAGCCAGTGGAGTTGGGCAAGGATGGAGGTAATAGGGTCACGGAGCCTGGTGCGGGAGAGGACACAGGCTGCAGAGTTCTGGATGATCTGCAGCCTGTGGAGGGAGGAGTTGGGGAGGTCAAAAAACAATGAGTTTGCATAGTCGAGCCTCTTCGGCAGCCTGCGGTGTGAGACAGTGGCGGATCCTGGCCATGCGGCGGAGTTGGGGGAAGGCAGAGCGAGCCATGTCGTAGATGTGGGGTAAAAAGGATAGTTGAGTAACAGCGTAAAGGGCAAGGAGGGCGATGGATTCCTGAAATGTGTGCAGGATCAGGTATGTTTCCAGCCTGACGAGGAAGGAAGCACTGCTGGATCTAGTTCTGGGGAATGAAGTGGGGTAAGTGGAGCAGGTTTCAGTAGGAGGGCATCTGGACAACAGTGATCGCATCATTAGGTTTAGAGTACTTATGGAAAGGACAAGGAACAATCAAAAGTGAAGATACTCAACTGGAAGAGGGCTAATTTCAGTGAGTTAAACGGGGACCTAGCCAAGGCAGACTGGAAAGAAAGATTGGCAGATAAAACAGAACAAATACATTCCCACAAAGAGGAATGGTAGGGCATCCAAACCTCCCTGGATGAATAAGGAAATTGGGATTAAATTAAAACAGAAAAAGTTGTCTTATGAAAATGCCAGGTCCAAAATACAGAAGATAATCAAATAGAACATAGAAAGTACAGAGGAGAACTGAAAAAGGAAATGAGAGGGGCAAAGAGATTGTATGCGAAAAGATTAACAGATAACATAAAAGGGAACCCTAAGATATTTTATAAGCATATAAAGAATAAAAGGTTAGTCAAAGGTAAGTTGGGACCAATTAGGGACCAAAGAGGAAATCTTCTTGTGGAGGCAGAGGGTATGGCTGACGTACTGAATGAGTACTTTGCATCTGTCTTCACAAAAGTAGTTAGAGCCAATGCCACAATATCGGAGGAGAGGATAGAGAAATTGGATAAGATAAGAATAAACCGAGAGGAGATACTAAAAATGTTGATGGTGCTCAACGTAAATACATCACCTGGTCCAGACGGGGTGCATCCTAGGTTACTGAGAGAAGTAAGGGTGGAAATAACGTAGGCTCTGACCACAATCTTTGAATCCTCCATGGACACCGGGGTAGTGCCAGAGTACTGAAGGATTTCAAATGTTACTCCCTGTACAAAAAGGGGCAGAAGGATAAACCTGGGAACTACAGGCCAGTCAGCTAACGCCAGTAGTGGGAAACTTTCTGGTGAGTAATCCGGGACAGAATAAATTTTCACTTAGAAAATATGGGTTAATAAAGGAGAGCCAACATGGGTTTGTTAAAGGCAAATCGTGTCTAACATACTGTTTTTTGATGAAGTAACGGAGAGAGTGGATGAAGGTAGTGCAGTTGATGTAGTTTATGTGGATTTTCAAAAGGCGTTTGGTAAAGTGCCACAAAAGAGACTTATAAGCAAAATAGAAGCCCACGGTATTAAAGGGACAGTGGTTACACAACTGGTTGGGAGACAGAAAGCAGAGAGTGGTGGTGAACAGTTGTTTTTCTGACTGGAGGGAAGGCAAAGGGATTGTGGGATGGAGTTCCAAAAGTGGGGGCAGAGAGGCTGAAAGCCCAGCTGCCGATGGTAGGGCGGGTCAGGCGGGAGACCTGGAGCAGGCCGGAGCCTGCTGAATAGAGGGAGCGGACATGTTGATGGGGTCAGCAGGTCAGAGATGTAGGAGGCGCAAAGCCATGGAGGGCCTTGGAGATTTTAAATTCAATCCTCTGAGGGATGGGGAGCCAGTGGAGCCGAGCAAGGGTGGGGGTGATGGGGTCACTGACGCCCAGGTTCCTGACTGGCTCGGTGTGGCGGAGTGTGCAATCCTGGATGCTGATGCTGTTGATGCCTGAGGTGCTGAGGCGCTGGCACGAGCCAATCAGGAGGGCCTCGGTCTTGCTGACATTCAGCTGTAGAAAGTTGGCTCTCATCCAGGACTTGATGTCAGACAGACAATCTGTCAGGACGTCAGTTGTCCTGGAATCGCGGGTGGAGGCAGAGAGATAGA